TCTCCGCCCCAGCCAGACACCACTACCCCGTCCCTCCCCTGGCTGTGGCCAGGCACAGCCCCGGCCCTGCAGCGTGGCAGTGCCAGGCCACCTGGCCGGGTACAACCCACCAGGCACCACCATAACACATTAGGACAGGGCTGCTCCAGCATGGGGAAACCTACCTTGCAGCCCCGCATCAAACCGCAATGCAACCCATCAGACCAGCCTTGCAGAGACCTTGCCAATGCACGGTGCTCCCAGCCCTGAGGCTGATGATGCCAGGGATGCTGAAGGCTGCAGACTGCACTGCCACCCCCGGGGAGGGGACGGCCAGCATCCTGCACCCTCCAGTGTGAAACTGAGCCGGGCAGTGGGGCAGCGCTGCCCTGGCAGGGACTGCTTGGGTTCCTGCTATGTACGAGTCCACGGCCTACGGGTGCTGGAGATGGTGTGGGGTGGAGGGGGCTCAGGCAGTCCCCGGTGTGGCTGCATGCACGGCGATGCCTGGCAATACGAGGTGCAGCTCGCAGAAGACCCCGAGGGCCGAGTTGGCCTTTGGCAGCTGCACGAGGAGGAGCAAGAAGGAACCACCTACAGTTACTGTATTCTGTAATGGCAAGAAAGGTAAGAAACTAGCAAGAAGCTATGTCTGTTCCTCTGGCAGGGTGGGCTTCCCCAGAGGAGCCTCAGCAGCCCACGGTACTGTACTTGGCCTCCCAGCCATGTCAATAGTCCTCGTCCTCTGGGTGGGTGACGTACATGATGGGCACCAGTCCCTTCTCGGAGCCGAGGCTGCACTGTAGCCAGTCACCATCCACCTTGGAGATGACCTGCAGGATGTCCCCCTTGTTGAAGCTCAGCTGTCCCGCCTCGGTGGCAATGTGATGGCAAAGAGCTTTCACCTCACTGCAGGCAGAGGGAGGGGAGGAAGGGTTAGCTCGCCACAGGACACTCACCCCGCTGGAGCCCAGGGACCACCATGGGCACAGAGGAGCAAGGAAAACACCCCCTGCCTCCCCACCCAGCCAGGCTCCCAGCTGCCCCCAGCTGCCCCTCACCTGCAGATTGCAGAGTTGGGGTGGATGGATGCACAAACTGCGTCACTGCCCCGAACCATCTCATGGTCCATAGGTACAAAGGGGGCCAGGTGAACTGCAACAGCCAGAGCCGTGTGCCAACCCCAGCCCACCATGTCCCAGCACCTGCAGGATGGCCACATGGTGCCACTCACCAGGGAGGGTGGGGAGACAACCCCCGGGCCGGCCGGGCCGCGGGGGGCACTTCAGATGGCTCTGGCCGGGGGGGCTCCGGCTCATGGGCTGCTTCTCGCCACATGCTTGCCCCGACCGTCTGGGCCACCAGCTGGAACACGGACTTGTCCAAGCTCAGCCAGCCAGAGGGCAACCTGCAAGAAGGAGATAGAAGCAGGTAAGTGGCAGGGAATTGTACCTGGGGGCAAGGAGCAGCCACTCTCATGGCAAGGTCATGCCTTAGATGTCTGGCTCCGTGCATAAAGTGCACTGTGGTCTCCAGGCTGCCCCCTGATGGGAAGGGCTCAGCATCCTCCAGACACACCACGGCCTAGACTGGGAAGAACATTTCCAGTGGCTGTAGAAGCAGTAAGGGTATAGATGGAGAGGCAGTGCGGGGAGGTCTCAGCTACATGGGGCAACTTCATGCCTCCTCCTCACCTGTTGTGCACAACAGGGATGGCTCCATATTCTGTTCTCAATATGTTTTTTTGGGAGGGATGAGGTGATGATGGGAGCCATGCAGCAGGGGCCCTTCCCCCGGAGAGGGGGCTTAGGAGTCAAGGCAGTGGTAGAACTCAGGCGGAAGAGGAAAGCCCCTGAGGTGGATTGAGCAAGGGCAGGAGCAGAGAGGAATGGTGGTGTGGGAGGAATTAAGGCAGGCCAGCAGGCTGGCAGGGCTAGGCAGGGGTGACAGACTTCTTCGTTCACACACTGCTTCTGGTGTACCACCGTAGTGTAGCCCAGTGGTCGGCTATTGGCCTGACTTCCACCTGCACTGCTGCAACCCCAGGTTAACCAGCCCTCCCCAGCCCAAACCATCCCTGCCCTTACCTGTTAGGCTGCTTGGGCTCTTTTTGCACCTTCCTGGACCCAAACAAGTGTCCCCACTTGATGGGCTGGCTGCCCTCTGATGCACTGGTGCTGCTTTCCTCTTGGGGGGCTGCTGCTGCTGCTCCCACTCTTTGCTGAGTCCCAGTCTCCTTCTCCTTGCTGCGCTTCAGCTCTGTAAGCACTGAATCTGGGGGGCTGCCCATCCAGAAGGGCCAGCTCCGTTCCTTCACCTCTTCACTGACCGGTACCTGCTGGGGCTTTTCCAAGGGCTCTTCCACGGCTTGAGGACTTGGCTTGCTGGCAACCTTGGGCCTCTCCTCCAAGGTGCCCTCAGCAATGGGGCAAGCCTCTGCACCCTCCACCACCCCTTCGCGGGGGGGTGGTGCCTTGCGGGTCTCTGCTAACCTGGGCACAGTATTCAAAGCCTTCTTCTTCTTCTCATAGTGGATGAACTTTGAGCCTTCAGCTGAGCCCTCGATGTATATCTGAGAGCTCTGCATGAGCTGGTACCACCAGCCCGCCTGCTTGTCCTTCCTCCCCTCCCACGTGCTCTCTCGCATCTTCCTCCGCTCTTCCTCCCTGTCACCATCTCCACAGGAGGCCCCCACCCCTTTGACCCTCTCACTTGCAGCTTGCTGGGGGCTGTGGCCTGGTGAGATGTCACCATCTCTGGCACCCACTTTGCATGCTTCAGGGGCGGTGCTGCAGCCATCGGGATCCTCACTGCTGCCCCGCGTCCGCATCAGCTGCAGGGTGGAGTGTGCAGAAAGCAGCAGGTCCTGCTTCACACGCAGCAGCTCCTTCTGCTGCTGCTGCTCTTTCCCCATCTGCATCAGGTGGTGCTCGAAAAGGAGGTCTAGGTTGAAGGGCAGCAGGGAGAGAGGCTGGAGCAGGAGCAGGAGCTCCTCGAAAAGAGGCTGGCACACGCTGTGAGACAGGCACAAGAAGCCCACTGGCTGGTAGTGTGCCAGGATGATATCTGTAAGGCAAGAGACATTAATTAGAGGATAGGCCCTTGCCTTCTTTGCCAAGCCCCCAAGAAGCTGCTGGAGTTAGGGGGAAAGGAGTTGGACACCGGTTTTTGGTCACAGCTGTGGCTGCAATGTGAGGCTCAGCACTGGGTCAGGGAGCACCAGATGCTCCGGGCAAACTGGCCCAGGTCCTGCTTCCAGTCGTGCCTGCAGCCAGGACCTGTCTGTCAGACTATCCACTAGGACGACCTCTGCCACAAAATACCATGGGAGTAGGGTGCGAATAAAGAGCATCAAAGGGTTGGCACATGTTAAAATTCTCTTCCCCACCTCCCGGAGATGAACAAGGAGCTGCACATTTGGCCAGTACCAGTCCCCTGCAGAAAGAGGTGTCGGGGACAGCTGAATACTGTCTTTCCAGGGACCTGGCTGGGCTGAACTGTGGATCCTAACAGAGAATGGACTAGCATTTCTACCTGCAGCATGCACCCTTCACTTCATTTGGCCACATCCACAGTGCCCCCCCACCAGCTTTGTTGTCATGTCTCACTCCCAGGGAGAGAGTTGGGAACAGGATTTGTGGCTGTTTGGTCCCAGTAAGATAACAAACTTGCACCACAGACAGGACTTGCACCGTATCTCCAACCCCTTTGCCTAGCCTTCATCATCCTAACAGCCCTAGCTATTGCTCACACTTCCAGATCTTAATGATGGCTCGAAGCAGATGGTCCTCTTCTGCTCCAGAAAACCAGGACGCTTTCTCTTGTCACACTGCTCGGTACAAAGGCAAGCCTACTCCCCTGTCTGCACCAGGGAGACGTGCTAACTGCACATGCAGACCTGGGAAATGTCTGCTGTCAGTCCCCAAACCTGCCAGAAGATACTGGGCTGGACTTCTTGCAGTGCATGGGACCCTGGGCTGGGCAACAGGCTGAGCCAGCAGCGCTCTCAGGGGATCCAGCCGGTCGAGGGCGTCTGTCTCACTGTGCAATTAGCACTTAGTCATGCTGCTTCTAGGCATCAGGCAGCTTGGTTGTGCTGCTGGGTTATCTGCACACTCTAGAAACATTTCTGATTGAAAAAAACAGATACATCCAGTAAATCTGCTTTTTGTTTGTCAGGTTTTCCTTTCCATTTCCCATGCCTGAAGGGTTTCAGCTAAGTGTGCACATCTCCAGCCGTATAAAGCTCTCAGGCACTGGGCAGGGAACACAGAAATTTGGGGAGGGTTAGATCTGGTCTCCTGCGGGTAGACTGAGGGATCTGCATTGGAGGTGACAGCCTTGAGTACTAGCTGCAGCTGGGAAGGATATGGCTGGCCAGGCTCAGGTGGAGGGAGCTGCATGGAGCTTTGACTTCCACCTGGGATTTCCCTGGTACACTGGGACTGTGTACAGTCTAGTCCTTCAGCTCAGAGCAGAGGGGAGTAGCCTAGGCTGAGAGACCAACAAGAGAAACGCATGTCCCTCCCGTGCTCTACATTGTGCAGAATTTGGCCGCCACTGCAGCCCACAGCCCGCAGGCTCTTACCTTCATGGTTGTAGAGGTGGTTGAACCAGAACTCCAAGGACCGGATACTGCAGGAAGGGAAAACAAGCAAGGAAAGAAAGAGTGAAAATCGTTTCACCCCCTTCAGACTTGCTGTTCTACAGAAAGAAGTGTGGCTGGAAAAGGGCATTTACACAGCATGAACCTATGAACCTCAAGACCTAGTGAAAGGACACTGGCTCACTCCCATCAGCATGCACTGACCACAGCCACCCAGCCTGCCACAGAGCCATCCAGTTTGCTTTACATGAGGCATTGTGCAACCGTAACCCCTAACAACCATGTTTCCAGCAAGTTTCCTCACCATTTAGCTCCTATGTCCTTGGCAGAGGAGCTTTGCTGAGGAGGGCTCATGTGGAAGAGGCAAATCATCTACAAACGTAAGACCATTGCTGCAGGCCTGGCCCAAAATATGCTGGTATCCTGGGCCAGCAGGGGAGACCTGGGCCACCATGGGTGCAGAGAGCAGGGCAGAGCTTGCTCCTGCTTGTAGGAGTCCCCCAATGTTTGAAGATCTTGGGGACTCTCTTGCCACTGCCAGAGCTCTTGCTGACCAGCAAAGAGACATTGCTGCCTTCTTCTGTTTAACACTGAGTATAGTCTGCACACTCCTTATCCAACCTGGAAGGGCCAGCCTTGAGTCGTGGACCAGGGCGATTTCTCCTTCAGAACCTCATGCACTGGGATTCACTGCAGCTCCAGGAAGCAGTGATTTAAACAGGGATTTCCAGGAGTAATTTATGCATATGTTATGTCTAACCCTGTATGAATCCTGACAGACAGACTCTTCCCATCTAATATTTTGGGGCTAAAACAAGCTGACAATGTTCTTCAGTGGGCTACAGCCACCCCTTCTCAGTCCTGGCCTGGCAGGGTAGGTTTTGATCCTTCTGGAGTTCCCTGAGGCTCACAGCTTCTTTCTTCCCTCACCTACAGCTGGGGAGAGGCTTCCCAGATTTCTTAAGTCTTTTAATTGGCAACTGTGCCTGCCTGCAGTCAAGGACCAGCACCTGCTGCCAGCCCTGGACATGCAGCCAGCTCAGGGAGCCTGCTTACTTGAGGAGGCCAAAGATGAATGCGTTGAACCTCATGGTGTGGTTGGTGAGCTCCGTGTACTGGCTGATCTTGCTATAGAGGCTGTGCAGCAACTTGGTAGAGGGGCCTATGGAGAGAAGCAAAATGTTGAGATTAGTCGTGGTCAGCAAAGCCAAAATGGCACCACAGGAAGGAGCATCAAGGCAAAACCAGACATTGGCTGGGTGCCCATGCCTGTATGTGCATTGCCCCTCCACCAAACACCAAGATGAGCTCACTCCATCCCAACAGTTAGACTCCACAAGGGAGATGGGTTGTGGTCTGTCCCAGACTGCCAGTCCAAAACTTTGGGAGAGTTTCAATACCGCAAGGAGCTGCCTCCCATACTTCAAGGACAACCACAGCCCTTGGCTCAAAATCGTCAGGTAAACAGAATATTGTGGTGGGTGGTTATAATTTGGGGTGTCTGCAATCACAGAGATAACCCCAGACCTGGAGATTTGCCACAAACAGGCTAGAAGCTTCCCAGCCCTGGATATAAGCCCTTCATGACGCAGAAATCAGTGTGGCCCTGCCATCTGTAACCTCAGAAAGGAGTTCTCCTGGATGGTAGTGACTGCCACGATCCAGGGTGCAGACTGGTAGTAGCAGAGGGTGCAGGTGTTGTGGGCAGGCTTGAGCCAAGTGAGCTGTGTGCACAAATTTTCTTACAGACCAGGAGAGAGCACAGCTCTGCGTTATAAAGTAGCTGTGCAGGGCTAAAGACAAAGATCTAGAAACACCCTGGAAACTTAGAGGGGGGAAAAGAGCATTCTTTTTGTTTTTATCTTTTTTTCATTGCTAGGACCTGTTGTAGGAGAATTTGGAAATTTCAGGGGAAATGACAACAAATATTTGGGCAGAATAGAACAGTGGCTCTCCTGTCTTGCAACAGAAGGTCAAGGCACATCCTGTTCCATGCAGGGAGACGGGTATTATCCTGCATCCCCACCCTTACAGTCAACCTTCCACAGCACCTCCCAGCCACAACACGGGGACACCGCAGAGCAATGAGCATCGCTGCACACCCTCCATACCTAGCTGGGTGGATGCCTCCACCACGCTCCAGGGGATGTTCCTCCTCTGGCCAATGATCATGTCCAGGACGTAAGCCTTGAGCCCGTCACTCAGAACGTCCCGGACAGCAGGGCACAGGTATTTCAGGATGAGATGCCCCACGTTGGGGCTCACGGAGCTGTTCCCAAGTTTGGCCTAAGGGAGAACAGGCAACAGGGAGAGGGGTTGGTAACTGCTCTACAAGGTACAGATGCATGTGAACAGTCCAGCCTCACTTGCCTACTACAGACGCCCAGCAGGCAATATCCAGGCTATGATGATGCTCAGCAGCTTCTTGAACAGGCAGGCTCTTCCCTTTCACCCCTGCTGCCTCATACACCAGTTATGGGTTGCTCCCTGCAAGGTCTGCCCCAGGCTGGGATCAGGCAACAGCTTAAGAAGAGAAAAACCCAGCTGGGGAAAAGGATATCCTGGTTAGAAGGGATACCTTGTTCTCCCTACAGGTATAACAAGGCTGTCCTGCTGGAGGAAGAAAAGAGTAGGGGATTTTTCTGCTGCTGTAGCTTTTCTTGTTGCTATTTTTGAAGCAGGAGGCAGCAAGCCACATAGGAACTAACAGCACCGAGGGGTTAAGGAACACTTAACTCAGTGACATGCCAAGCTATAATTCCTAGGGATTACTATAAATAAACAGGGTGAGGGCAAAATGGATGGACAGCGCTCAGGTTGAAGTGAGGAAGCACGTAAGAGCCCAGCATCAGCAGAGCAGGGACATATTCTGCTGCATATAGTCCTTGAGCTGCTGAGGGGTCCACCCAAAGGGGTCAGCCCCAGGCCTTACACGTCATGTTGGTGGTCCCAGGCAGTTGTGTTCAGGGCACAGATTTTACCAGCTGAGCTGGAATTATACTGGCTAGCTGGCACGGATCCACAGAGGCCCTGAACTGAGACTGAACTTCTGGGTCAGGAATAATCCCCCCAGATCCACTGAGCGTGGGAGCATCAGGGATGGGTGATGCCTTTTGACAGGTGAATGCTCAGCCCATGGCACACTGATGTATAATGAAACCCCAGGTCAAAACCACAGCACTCTCTGGCAAGTAAAGTAATGGGGGAATGTTGCTATTATTCCCCAAACCAACATTGCAAGAATAAGAAATTCACAGTGAAGTCTTAAAAAGCTGTGGGAATCCCAACAGCTCCGGTTATGCTGCACAGCAATCTCTGCATCAGCAACGATTGTAATTAGGGGCAAATTACTCCGGGATCTGAGATAAGATTGAATGGGCTTGGAATCTGTCCCAGTCAGGTTTCTCCTTGGGGATGGCACTCCAGGGCAGTTGTCACGTCCAAATAGTGTCACATTGCTGCCCCAAAGTCCCCTGACTGAAGCAGAGCATTCAGCTTTGAGAGGAGGCACCACAAACATGCTGAGTGTCACAGGACTGCACACGCTGGCTGGTACAAACAGAAACAAGATTGCTCTGCTTCTCCATTATTCCAGAAGTGGGAGATGAGGGGAGCACAGGCCAAGGACAGCCAGCCCCATGGCCAACCTAGATGCACTCTGAAGCTAGTGGGTTTGTGGCAAGGGCTATAGGAGAAGCCCACCTGCCCCAGATGGGCAATGACTGATGCACTTTTTTATCATTATGGAGCCCTGTGACACATCGAGGGACTGGGGACACTGCACTGTGTCCCGGCACCAGTGCCAGAAGAGAATCACAGGGCGTGTGGAGAAGGGAGGCACAACTCTCCACTGTATGAGAAAAAAGAGCTGGTGTACTGCATCAGACCAGAAGGCCAGCTGGCCAGGTATTCTCTCTTATAAAGAGCCATGAGTAAGTACACCAGAAAGAGTCAAACCAGAGCAAACATATATAATACTTGCCCTTAATACTCTCGCAGCCAGCAACTACTTTCAGCTCAGAGTCTACCTAAGCTGGACATTATTCCGATGTGTTTAGTAGACCTCAATGAATTTCCCTTCCCTGTGTTTTTCTGATCTTCCCTTAAATCCACGTACTCTTTTAGCACCCTCAGCATTACGCAGCAAGAATTGTCACAGATTTACTATCTGCTGCATGGCATACCATCACCTTTGGTTTGTTCTTGGTACTACTACCTTCATTGGATACCCTGTAGTTTTTGACTAGAAGAGAATGAAGAGGCAATCTTTCTCCATCCTCTCCATGTCACGCATGATGTTGAGAAGCCATACTGAAAGCAAGACATACCTTCACCCCTGGATCCCTGCTGGTTCCAAAGTGAGCCACAATCAGGTCAACAGCAGTGTTGATTGCCTTCACCAGACCTAGAGGGAAAGAATGAGTCAGAGAGCTGCCTGAGGGACTTCTAGGACAGACCCTGACCAAACACTTCATGAAGAAGCCTATGTCAGCGCGTGTGTCCTTTCTGCCAAAAACATGCAGAGTCCTCCCTAACTCCTCACCAAATCTGTCCCTGCTGGTTCCAACACTCATGTATCAGCCTGACAGTAGGACAACCTTTAGAAGTGGCTGAAGCATAAGACACCCTGTCAATGTTCCCAAGGGACATGGAACATCACCTCCACGCACCATCCCTCGAGGGAGCAGAGATGGAGCCTGAGGCAAGGAGTGTTTTGCTGCTTTGATCCTACAGGGCGGCAGGGCAAAAGCCATGCATTTGGCAAGCTATGTAATGACCTTCAGTAACAAGCCAGTGGTGGGTAATCTGACATATTTATCAGTATGATGCAAGAAGAGAAGTGGCATAGAGGGGAAGGCTGCCATCTGGTAATCACCAACACATAGCTGGCAAAGGCATGGGAACCTTTCTCACATCCCTTGCCTCTGACATGATACCGAGGCAGCTGTCAACAACCCAGTCCTGAAGCCTGCCTCTAGCATCGATCTCATCACAGCCATATCTTGTCCTGCTTTGGAATCCTTTCTCCCACCCTTTTACATAAACACTTTACCATGTAGGACCCAACAGGCCTTTTACCTAAATTACAAAATCTCAGGCTAGCACATCTGCAACATGAAATGGATTCACAGGTCTGCCCTTGTATACTGAGACAGGGGTGGCAGCATATCCTGCCTTAGGGTCATACTCCTGTGCCTGCCTGCACTCCCTGCCCTTTCTTGTGGACACTAAGATCCTTTCTAATCATACTTCCTGGAACAAACAGCTCAAACATACTCCGTGGCACATTGCATGGTGCAGAGAACACAAGAACCTGCCATGGAAACAGCCATCAGTCCAGGGGGACACGTAGTTATGATGCTACAGTAGAGAAGGGCAGGGAAAGAAACCATTATGTCTACAGAGATGACATGAGACAGAGAGAAGCACTGTTCACCTTATGCTGTGTGACGCCATACTCTCATCCACGAGAGATGCATGGACTCACCCTTCTTCTGCAGCAAGTCGATGGAGATGGACTCTGTGTTGCCATCTGGGGAGAGGCAGAACTCAGCGGGGGGTTTCTCTGCTAGTGAGAAGTAGTCAGGGAAGAAGTCAGTGTAGGTAAGCTGGAGTTGCCTCATAGACTGTCCTGCAGGGCCAAGACGGGGGAGAAGGATCAGCCCCAAGCCCTTATACAAAAGCCTATCCCACATTGTTTGCTTTTCCCAGATGCAACGTGCACCAGCAGGAATCTTCACACCAAGACTGGGACAGCAATGCTACAGGCTTGTTACTCTCCCAGCAATGATTTGCAATGTGAGCCTGTACAGTTCAACCCCACAGTCAACCCAACATCTAGCTCCAGCTTGACTGGGGGCCCATGGGCACTGGAAGATGCTGTGGGAGGTTCACGCTCATGGGTTGGTGCTAAGGAAAACCTCTCTGCACCAGACTCTCAGGGCAGCTGTGCAGATAGCCCCAGCAAGGGGGGGGTCAAAAGCAGAGCACAGAGAGAATTCCTGCTTGTCACACACAGGCATGCACAGGCAACAAACTACATGCCTGTCCCCAGGAATGGTCTCTATTTTGAAGGGGTGACTTCTGCAGGAGCTCTCTCATGTGCTCGATTTCCATCTGGTTGATTCCCCAGCTCTGTTACACTAGGCATCTTCCCATGAAGGAGGTATGGAGAAACTGGGTTGGCAGAGCGAGGTGTAGAGCTTTGGGGAATTCCCTCCATGACTTGGGGCTGGCCTCAAGAATGCTCTCGCTCCCACAGACAGACCCCTCTGCTCCTCCCAGAGGACTCTCAAAGGTTCAGCCAAAACCAGCCTGCCCCTCTCAGCCCTTCCTGCACAGGTTTTGCAGGATGGGGAAGACCTTAAGGGCAGCGCATGGAGAAGACAGAGCCCCATGGAGCCCTACAGTGTTGCCAGCTGCACCATGAGAGCTACAGCCCAGCACCTAGCATGCTGCTGGGGTTGGGGCAGATGGGCAGACACCGTGGGGCACAGACACGAGATCTTCCAAGGGCTACAACTCCCGAACGAGACACGAATGACAAGCTGGTCAGTCCAGGAGCACTTGCTGAGGTCTGAGCAGGCTCTTGGGCCTTTCACTTTCCCCTTCAATCCAGCCCCGACCTGGACTGCTCTCAGCTTGTAGAGAAGGGAGGCTCCACACAGATTGCACCCATCAGTGAAGCAATTTTCATCTTCCCCTTGTACCCCTCAGCCCCACTGCGAGCAGATGCATCATCCCTCCTTCTCAGAGCAGGCAGAGCAGTGGTGAGGCCAGGCTGAACCCAATCCCCAAAGGATATTGAACCTGAGCCTCAAGGGATACTGAACCTGAGCCCCAAGGTCACCTCCCAAGACCCACCCCCAGCAGAAAGGTGGTGCGCACCGTTCAGCTTGCAGTGGAAATGGCTGCTGTTGAGAGTGCCAGGGAGCTCAAAGATGGGGTTCCCCCGGTTCAGCCGAGGCTCTTGCTGCCTCCTGTCTAGGCTGCCTGCTAAGCCGGGCAGCCCTGAAACGCGGTCCAGACCCAGGGGGTTCCTCCGCCTGTACTCCCGCCACTTCAGCGCTTGGGGGGAGAGGTGGTTCGCTAGGACGCCACAGGCAGTGAGCACCAGACGGGAGGACACGAGCAGATGGGAGGATATGGAGGGGAAACGGGGAGAGAGAAGATGAGAAAGAGGAAGGACAGAGAAAGAGAGACGGCACATTAGTTAAAAGTCCAGCAGCGTTTCAGGACGTTAGCACACATACATGGAGGGAGGCGGAGGCCACAGCCTGGCAGAGCAGGGCGGGAGCCTGGGTGGCCTCGTGGCTGCAGGCATAGAGGGAGCAGGTTTGGGGTGCAAGCACCTGGTGTGGGGTGCTGTAAGATCAGCAGCCCCACGCTGCCCTCTCCGGAGACAGTGTAGGAGTTGGGACTGGAGGGTCATGCTCTTAGTGTAGGACTTTCTTTTGCAGGCAGAGTGATGATAGGGGCCGCTGGGTGCTGCAGCACCCAGATGCAATTTTGCCCCAGGCTGTGGCTATAAGAGGGTGGTACTATAGGGAGCAGCCATAGTCATAGGGAGCTGAGATGTTCCAGACTAGCACGTCCTGACGGATGGGTACCTACCATTGAGGGGCCGTATGCCCATGCTGCTCAGGGGACCAGAGCTGCTGGTCTCACTGCCACTTCTCCAGTGGGGATCTGCACGGCCCCCCACTCTGCTCACGGGCACACTGCCCACCGAGAGGGGTGGGAGGGACCCACTGCGGAGTCGGTACTCGGAGAGCAGTGGGCTTGGCTCCAGTGGTGCCTCCTTCTTGGGAACTGGCTTGGGGTTCTCCTTTTGCCTCAGGGCATCAGCTTTGGTGGCTTGGGAGGGCTGCATGGCACTGACAGCAGGGGAAGACCTCGTGGAAAGCAGGCTGGCGGAGATGGGGCAGGACCTGCTCCTGGGGGGCTGGCTCTCTCCAGCCCTCTCCTTTGTGGGCGAGGAAGAGGAGTCCACGCTTTGAAAGAAAGGCACGTTGCATCGCACAGGAGAGTAACTCCCCAGAGGGGATGGCCGGGTTGTCTCAGGGGCAGGCTTCTTAATGCAGCCATCATTGCGGGAGGCAGCTCCATCCACTGAGCGCTGGGTCAGGAGTGTGCTGTGGGCTTGGCTCCCCACCCCCGCCAACTGCTCTGCCGAGGTGGCCGAGGCTGAGGACTGGGAATTGGAGGAGATCTGCTGGCTGGCAGGCCGGTTGCTGGACAAGCTGTAGAGTTGGGAAAGGCTGGAGGCAAAATGGCTGTGCAGAGCACGGGCCTTGGATGGTTTGCTGAAATGGTGCTGGAAAACAAAGGGCTGGATGGGCAGAGTTGTGGGACGCTGGTCCTTGCTGTAGCGTACCACAGGCTTGCTGTCTGTGCCACCACCTTCGGGGAGAGAAAGGGGGACAGAGCGTGAGAATGGGCAGAGGGACAGTCATCATCAGCCTGGCAGATCGCAGACAAAAGGGAATGTGCTCTCAGCTGTGGGAGGAAGAGGATGAGCTAGAGGCCAGTGACACACGCAGAGTGGTTCAAGTCTGAACCAGTTACACACATCATGAGCTAGCAGGGTAAAGACGTGGCCCCAAATGCAGAGTTTCCAGCTGTTGACAGCTGTCTGGATGTGTAGGGCACTGCACTGGGAGCTTCTCTCTCCTGGTAGGGTCACCAGCTTCCCATCTCTTCCCCATCCCTTGCACCGAGGACAGCACAAGTCATGGCCCCAAGCACCTGCCCTTGACCTGCCTCCACCCGAGGCAGTACCACAAAGACATGGCCCAGTGCACTGTGGTACAGCAAGATTTCTTATCCTGAAGGACTGTCCCCTCCCACATGTGCTGAGAACTCACCCTGCTGAGCACAAGCATTAGAAGGAATAGCACTGCAGCTCTGCATCCCACATCACACTCAGTGCTGCTGGAAAGGCTGCTTGCTCCCCCTTCTCCCTCCCTCCTCTTTCTCCTGTAACTGTTCCCCCCCTGAGCACGCAGCTTCCTTCTTCCTCCTGCCTGTACCAGATCCAAGCAGGACATTCCCAACCAAATCAGGACCACAGCACAATTAGGAGAGCTTCCAACCCTGGAAAAGGCAGGTCTGCTCCATCAAATGACAGACAGGGATGCCCTAAGGGAGTGTGCTGGGCTGATCTCCTATGCGTGCCTGCAGCTCCTAGTGGGGCCACAATATCCCGAGGGACACAGCTGAAGCGTGACACGCTGTGCACACAGTGTACAACACACACAGCACTGGGTGCACACTCGGGGCTGACTGGGATCCCTGATCACCAGCCACGCCGCAGCGCAGCGCAGCGTGGCACCTTCTGCCTTGTCTCCCCCTGACTCCTCCAGCCCACAGCAAATCCTGGGACAAAGGACCCATCCCAAGCAGAGCCCTGGTGTTACCTGCTGCCTGCGAGGTGTTCCAGGCCTCTTCTCTCCCTATAGCTAGCCTTTAGCAGGGCTTGCTTTCCCTCTAGTCCCTTCTCAGACCCTCTAGGTTTGCATGCTGCTCTCAGCTGGTGCGAGGCAGCTCTGCCTCTATCTCCAGCCACAGTCAAGTGCTTTCCGCACAGCGCTAATGCCTGCCTTGCTGTCACATTGCAGAGGAAGGGACCACAGCAGGGGGTGCAGGAACTGCTGGGACCTATTGTCCTGAGAGCTCCTGTCTGACCCCTCCTCCCCGAGCAGCTCTTGGAGGGCTGCTCCAATGCTGCCTCCTCCCAGCAGAGGTCTGCCTTCCCTGCCATCCCACACCAAGTGCACCTTCAAGGCTCAATAAACAAACAGGACAATACACAAAAAAACCTTTGCTCCAAAGGCCAAAATCTCTCCCACACCTGCCACAGCAACGAGTGACATGTTCTTCCTATCTCCTGCCAGAAATCTTCAGGGCATTAAATGGAGACAGTCTGGTCCTTGGCGTGTTAAGGGCTATCTACCACAGCAGCCTGGTCAGAGCCCCATTTTAGACAGGCTCTTACCTGTGAAGCAGGTACAAGAACTGTCTAGGGCAGAGCCTAGGTCTCCTGCCATGCTGGAGATGGGGCTGCCACACAGCTTCCTCACCAGGACAGGTAACGGCAATATCAAGGCGGAAAGCAACTCATGTATTACAGGCTTTCCTGCAGAGGGAGCTGGGACAATTACCCTCCAGAGGAACCTCTGCTGCAATCCAATGCAGTGTGGAGGACATGGCCAGGATATTCCAGCAGAGACACGCCGCTCCTCTAATCTCTGCAGGACTCATGCTGTAAGTCCCAGCAGAGACTGTGTGAGCACCCTGACCCTGCATTGAGAGGAGACTGTTGACTATGCCTCCTCCCTCTCCACCTCTGCCCCATGTGGCTTCAAAGAAGAAAGGCTAAAAACTCCTCAGTGGTTCCTTTCCCTTTGTCAGCTGGGAACACGACTCTGCTGAGCATCTTCACGTCTCTGTCTTAGGAGCTAAAAGCAGGTGATTCTCATGGACTGGGGGAGTACAACGCCCTGAAAGGGAGTCAATCCTCCAAGTTGCACAGACCCTAAGTGCTAATGCCGTGTCCTCCCTTACATGATATGAGAGGTTTGCACAAAACCTCAACAGGCTTTAGAAATACAAGGACAAGACACTGGCACTGATCTGGGTCTGAAATAAGCACAGCAGGGCTTTGTCCCAGGGAGTGGTAGACCAGGAAACAAACCGCACAGGCACTGGTCTCCCATCACCATGCCGGTTCCTCTGCTGCTCCCCTCATGTTCCCAAAAAGCAGCTTTTCCTTTTACTTCTCCATTCTGCCTAGTTTGGCTCCTTACCGTCTGCTCGGGCTCTAACATCTCTTTGTCCGTGGCCACTGGCAGAGCCACCTGAGAAGCTGGCATCTGCCTCCATCAGCAGGGAGAGAGAGGCTTGCTCACCTGCCCCATGCCCACTGGGGACCTTCTCACTGGAGACCGAGTCTTTGGTGGAACACAAAGCCTGGCTGTCCCCAAAAGCATGATTTAAACAGAAGCCCTCGCAGCTCTGGTTCAGGCCATGCACGAAGGGCATGGGTGGAAGACTCTGGCTGCGGCGAGCTCTTTCTTCAAGGAAGGCTGGGCAATCCCGCTGTGTCTCGGGGATAGGGGAGAACTCCAAGGAGGAATCACCACTGGACCGGAGTGGTGGGGAGGTGCTGTTCTTTTTCCTGCCTTTAGCCAGTTCAGCAAAAGATGTCACTCGCTTTGGGGGGGAACTCTGGATGGGTATTGCTGGACTTTCACTCAGCTTGACCGGACAGCTCACCATGCGCTCCAAGGAGCCCAGCCTGCTGCTGGGACTCCTGTCCAGGTTCTGATCATAGCTCCTGGAGCGCTGCCGGCTTGTATTGAGGTTAGGTGGTGACACATTCACATAGACCTGACCCTCAATCGTGTTCTGGGTGGCTTCTCCCTTTGCCTCCTCTTCACTGCACTCCACGTTGCCTTCTTCTTGTCTCAGGTCAGGCCTTCTAAAAAGATAGTATTCAGTGGGCTGGGCTGGGCTACCTTTGGTATGGTCTTCCGAGCAGCTAGTTATGGAAGATCCTACTGGGCTGGGGGATGACTGGGAAGACAAGTCACACGTGACTAACTTATAATAATTCTGAGTAGCCACAACGAGCCGTGCTTGGCTCTGGAAGCAGGCAGTGAGGTCTGAGCTCTCCGAAGCGCAAGGCTCACAGTGGAGGTGGTAGGAGTTGCAGTTAGCATCAAGGACAGGTGAGGAGGAGGAGTGTTGACACCCACACACCTTCCCTGAAGTCTCTGGGTGATGTGACTCGCAAGACATCTTGGATTCTGTGGGTGATGAATGCAAATCCAGGTAAAAAGCTCCTGTGTCTGAGTGGCTGCAGAAGGAAGAGTCACAGGACAGGTTGGCTGAATTCAGGTTAGATCGGGAATGGCCATTCATTTTGTTGTAGAGAGCACTGAAGTTCACCAGCACCCCATCGGAGCTGTTGCAGGAGGAGTCACTGATATAGCCCATCTGTTGGTCAATCACTTCAGACTGACTTGATGAACTGTAGCAGCGACAGTGCTGGAGCTCCGAGCTGGAACAGCTGCACGTCCGGCTGTGTAGGGCATCCTGATTCCTCAGTGATTCACCCGTGTTCTGGTTCCACTCCTGGTCACCACCATCAAAGGAGAAGCTGGAGGAGCTGCCGCGATGGCAACTGCATTCATCCAGCTCCATGCGTTCTGAGGCCTGGTGGCACCGGTTTGCATTGTTCCTCTTCTGGACATCGTCACTGCTGATTTTGTCCTCTTGCCCATCTACCACACCGGACCGGCTGGCCATGTTCCAGGATTTCACAATGTGGTTGGAGTCGTGGAGGTGGAAAGGGGGCAAGGCCAGCTCATGCAGATGAAAGGGAGGTTTGCCAGCCACAAGTGAGTTGTGAAGGTGAAAAGATTTTTGACCCAAGTCATCCCCAAAGATGCTGAGGTCTTCACCCTCACTCAGCAGGAAAGGGTTGTGTCGCTTACTGACACTAGGGACAATCAAATCCCTCGCTTTGCCTTCTTTGTTATCTGAGGCCTCTGCTGAGGTTTCGGAGGTCTGGAGAAAGCTGCTGTACACCAAGGAGTCAGTCTGTGAAAGGTCTCTGTCTGGAAGGGCAGAGGTCCGTGTAATGCTGAGCTCTGGCTGGCAGAAGGGGTTGGTCCTTTTGCTCACGGAGCAGCACTGTCTATCAGGGACCTGGCAATGCACCAGGGGAATGTGATGGACAATCAGCGTCTCACCAGTCAGTTTGGGTGGACTATCCATGGTGAGGAATGCTCTTCAGGACATCAGTTAAGTCGGTGCTACCCATGGACAGGTAGGGCTGCACGTGAGAGGCAAGGAGGACACTTCTCATGGGGGAGTTCAAATACCTAGAGAGAGACAAAAACACAAAGGAAGTCACCTCTCAGGAAAGGCAGTGACTATTTAAAGCATCCTTGGTTTGACTGAAGACTTCATGTGCTGACAAGGACCAAACAGACTGGTCCTTGTCAGCACAAGGTCCCAAGCACAAGGTCCTGAGCTGCCTTTCTTCAGGGAAAGCATCACAATGTAAGACAAACATGTCCCCCTCCCTGCGGACTCCTGAGACAACACTTGTGCTTCCAACTGACCCCTCTCAAACTTATCTAAAGTGAGCTACTGATTTCACTCAAGTAGCCAAAGGGCTGCACAGGCTTTGCGCCAAATGAAGACCTCACTGTGGATGGCACTGCACGCTCACAGAAAAACATGCAGGCAGCACAGGGTCTGAAATGAATTGCTGCACTCTGATGAGAGCAGTCCATCTTCTTGCACTGGATTCAATACCTTTGCCTTGAACTTTAGGTACCTTGAACTGTCCCTTAAGAACTAAACGCTGAACAGCACTGCCAGACCTTGCAACGTTAGAGAGACACAAGTCCAGGCTGAGACTGGAAAGCGGGAACAGACTGGAACAGGAAAGCAGCAACAATGGTTCTTCTCCAAAATCCAGGCACCCCCACTAGGTCCTGAGCTCTTTTAATGGTGCCAGGACCTAGTGCTCTCATAGATCCTTCACTTGTTCTGATAACCCTGGCCCAAACATCCTTGGTCAGCAATCCATGTCCCATATCTCATCCAGGCACCCTCAGTGCTCACAGCACCACATACTGTGATCCTGCTCTGGACTCCAGGACCCCGGGTCTGCTGCCACCACTGACCTTCTGACTCCAGAAAGTAGCATTCACAGTATCTGTCTTTGCCTACCTTACCCCAGCATTTGTGACTACGGGACAATAAAGAATTTGGAGCAGAGCTGCAAAGGCACATGGGAGCCCAGGAGGGAAATCGAGAAATGTGGGATAAGTGAGGTTAGAACAATAGTGTAAGCAATGAGACAGCTCCACAGGAAGATCAGGAACTTCAGTTCTTTCAGCTTCACGGCACAAGAATAGCAATTAAAAGATGCTAAAAAAAATGATCAAAAGAAGTACTTTCATCCCACGCATAGTAGTGCTTCTCACAGACACAGGATGATGCTGGCAGGAAAAAAAATACAAAGATGGAAATGGACCTAGTGTTTACAGTAAACACCCAATGATGTAAAAGTTAATGCTAACAGCAGTGTTAGAGAACAGACAAGCCTTCTGGTAGACTCTACCGGAGATCATCATGAGACCTACGTGAGGGGCACACTCACGTCTGTGCCTCATGTCTGCTTCTGCTGGGATGTTTCAGCCAGGATTAGGCTCTGAAGTAGAGAGGTCACCTGGACCACTTAGACCACATCCAGCTGGACTATCGTGGGACCCGAAACTCCCCCCCACCTATAGTCTCCCTAATGCCTGTATCACCCTTCACTCCCCTTTCAGTGACTCCTCTGTCTTACAAGCCTTTGGCTGCTTTCCCACAGCCACTGAAAGAAATGAGTCTGTCCTCAGCCTGTTTCCTGGGACAAGATCTTTTACATCAGGGATTCCCAAGATCACATTGTTCAAGAACCACCGTGGGTAACAGCACAGTAACTCCCGAGTCTGTGCCTAGCACACGCACACCCTGAAAGTGCTCTTCAACAGTTGGGGCAGTATTCATGCCCCATTTTTGACCTTGCACACCACTGACGGTACATGTAGCAGCAGGAGCCCCTATTTATCCTGTCTCCCCCCCTCAGCACTATGGGGAAAAAGCTGGTCCCCCAGTGGCTATCTGCCCTTGTTACTGCCTTTGTAGCTGATTTTAACACTTAGATCATGTCTCCCCATAAGGCCTTGTTATATTTTGAGTATTGCCACAATGCAACCACTTGAAAAGCATCATTTTGAGGATACAGACCATGATGACAGCACACTTCACTGCTGAAGCACTGGGTCTCCGCTGCCTCTGGGAAATGGCTGCTTGGAGCCAGCTCCCAGCACCAGCACCTATCTGCTGACAAGCCTTGCTGAACAACACACACTTTATGTTCGTGCAGATGCTGCTGTGGGAGGACAAGGCTTGCACAGGCACACTTTGACATTTGACAGCAAAATGTCAAGAGAGCTGACACACAGCCATTTCCCAGCTGTCTCTCTGGAGCCCTGGCTGCAACATGCAACTCTGCCCAGCTATTTGGTTTCAGTGGCAGCACAGGCTCCCTGGGTGGACTGTGATTCATTGGCTGTCACAGATGCTGCAGCAGACGGATGCCCACTCTGCCTGCACCCACAGCCTGCTTCCAGCACAAGGCTCTGAGGTCCAATACCACAGGCAGCACGCAGCCAGCTCCTGCCGGGAGCCATTCTGACAGCTTCCCTAGGGATATGCATGACTTTTTTGTGCCCTAGATACCCCTCTCTCCCTTCAGGCAGGGAGGTTGGCAGTGGCACTGCCAGTGCAGGGATTATTCAGCTTCCAACACCAGAGCATCCTCCCCGGCCATATCATCCCTTGGCTCTCCCTCCCGGATTCTGGAAGACTGTAGAAGGATCCTCCCTCTTCTATTCAGGGTCTGGTAGGCTGGGATTGACACTGGAGCATAAACCAGCAAGCAGAGCAGTTTCAGATTCTGCTGGCTTTGATCAGCTCTTTGTAAAGCCCTCACACCTGTCTTGGTTTCAGCTGGGACAGAGTTAATTTTCTTCCTAGTAGCTGGCACAGTGCTGTGTTTTGGATTTAGTATGAGAATAATGTGATAACACACTGATGTTTTAGTTGTTGCTAAGCAGTGTTTATACGAAGTCAAGGAATTTTCAGCTTCCCATACTCTGCCAGCGAGGAGGTGCACAAGAAGCTGGGAGGGGGCACAGCCAGGACAGCTGACCCAAACTGGCCGAAGGG